GTCCGCGCGACCCCCCCCGCCCCTGCCACTCGCCACTTAGGAGGTGGAGTGCCAGGAGACAGTGCCTCCTTGATGGGAGGAACAGCCCCCCAGGCTCTCAAAGCCAGGAGCTGAGAGGGTGGAAACCAGCTTTTCGTCTGGCTGGTTTGCTCGGTGCAGTGACAGTCAACCTACAGGCACCAGGGTTGAGAGCAGCGGGAGGGTGAAGGAGGAACCACGGGCTGTGGGGCTCGGTGGGTTTGGCCAAATGAGGCGGTGGGGACCCCGGCACTCCTGTGCTTCACCAGTCCCCTGCGGCAGTCAGTGCAAGGCACCTCGAGCCGTGAGACTGACGTGCAGCAGCCATGCAACCACGCGCTGGCCAGGCTAGAAGCCATGTTCAGCAGCTCAGCCCCAGCAAGGCTGCCCTTCTGGTCAGCGTATCACAATCACCCATGAACGAACACTTGTCGTTACAGCAGTTATTATTACTCTGGTGTGAGAGATCACAGAAAAGCAGCCTGGACCCAGATCTGGAGATGTGCTGCGCACCGCAACCTTAGATTGAAGTGCATGAACCATGACTAGTCTGTACGTCATATTCAACTTTTAGTTTTGACTGTTCTGCTGTGGAAGGAGCTGGAGCTAAGAGCAGGCAGGAAGGCTGAGGATAATCCACCCCAAGGTGCTAAATTCCCTGTAACAGCTTAAAACCACCGATATCTGCCATGCACATGGCACTCTCCGTCTTGGCTACATGGGGACGACTACTCCCAGAAGCAGCCACAGCCCATTCCTAGCAACTGGGGGTAGCTGGCAAGCATCAGCTCGACTGGGACCAGAGCGTGGCCTCTGCAGGGCTGACCTTGTCGCCTCCCGCCAGAAGGACGGAGACTGTCAGCACCGAGAGGCGAAAGGCAGGACAGATGTCGGATGTCAGCGTGCACAGGCAACACTTCTGGAAAGCACTCCAGGTCTCAAAGCATCTTCCAGAGACATGAAGCTGGGGCTGCATATAGCAAAGGCCTTGAGGGTTGAGGACAGGTGCAGAGCCTGCTGAAACAGAGCTGAAATCCCTGTGGGGAGAATTTCACTTGCTACCTACCCCGAGCAGAGTTGCCAGGAGGGGAGAGTGCCCTGACAGCCTTGCTGGTGCAGCCAGACAGTGCCGACAACTCGTGCAGCTTCCACGGAGAGTGCATCAGGAGCGTTAACCCTGCCCGTAGCAGCAGGACGTTTCGTGCTGCTCCCTCGCCCCCTGAAGAAGCTGTGCGAGCTTAGCGTCACATCCTCCAGCGCAGCCTCCAGGACCAGCACGTTCACTGGCTCTCCCTTATCTCCGCATCCCAGGCCTCTTCTGCCCTATCTTGCTAATGAGTGCTGGGAGAAAAAGCAAACAGCCTATCTGCTGTAAATGGCAAGAGCACTCTGTACTGCCAAAAATAAGAAAGCAGGTGAATTCTCCCTAAGCATAATTGTTTTCATTTAGACAACATACTAAAACATCCGCCTCCACAAGCAGTTCTCCCTGGACTGTGCTAGGGTTCAAGCATGGCTTAACACAGGCCCCCCCCGCCACCTGCACTCCAAAAATACAAGATCCTCCAACACAACTGCAGTATTAAATAAATAAATAAATA